ATTCCTGAGGGTCTGTGTCATGATGCACCAAATCTCACAACGCTCTGAGCTGAAGCCTGGTCTTTGGCATCTACAGGCAATTGGTTCCAATTGGATCTTGTCAGCTCTGTAATTGTGCTAAAGACTGTGCAATGCTAAGGGTGGAAAATTGGCTTTGCTTGTTTTACTGAAGGGAACATTAGAGAAAAATGTTTAAGGAATTTTAAAAGCAAAAAAATCCATTCTTAAAAATGAAAATGTCCATCACAGGGCAGGAACATGCTGACTCTTTCCAATGCACTGCTCTGCTGCTCTTGTCACATAAAGCCCCTTTGGTCTCACCCATCCACCCTGCCTGGCTGAGAACAGGGAAGCAAACCTTATCTTGCTTGGTTGAGGTGTTTGTGGCTCTTGTTTTTCAAGAAAATTACCAAGAAATATGAACTGAGTCCATTTTCTGCATCTCTTCCCAAAGAGACAACCACACTTGATAGAAAGTGGCTTTCCCAGTGAAAAGTACATTCAGTCACCACTCAGTGGGTGCCAGGACATAACACTTGCTGTTTTGCATCCCCATATTCATCTTATCTCTCCTCTGGAGTAGATTTTACAACATGATGAAAAAAAAATCCCATAAATCCTCAGTTTGTTTGGATAATTTCTGACTGCTTATGTATCAACTTAAATCATCTTTAGAGGACTGGAAAGCCCCTTCCACTCTTCGAGGTTCACTTTCCACTTACCGCCTGATCTGTCTTGCTTCTGTAAACCCTCCGCAGAGTGAACTTTGATTTGGGTGACTCTGCGTGGGTAGCCACAAAGAAGACTCCAACATGTCATTTTAGGCTTATCTGCCTTCAGCTCCCTGAAAAATAGTGGGAAAAGCAACTGAAGCAGAAGAACATCAAGTAAACAATCAACTGCTGTGGAAATTTAGCATTTTTAGAACATGAGATTCGTACTTTTTCCTCATCTGCCATTTTGGAATTCTGTGGTGGAGAAATGACAGGTGTAAGAAATAAAAATAGAGAAAACCAAAGTAAAACCACGTTATCTTTGCACAGTTTGATTTTATTGTGTAGCACAAATGTCAGCAGTGTGCATTTGACTGCATGGGGGTTCCATTTACACATTCTCCTTACTTCATTTCTCTGAAGTTTCTATAAGATATGGCAGCAAATGGTGCGAAAAAAACCCTTTAAATATTTGAAGATAGTATCATAGCAAGAAAAAAATTCAGTGGGCCTGGTTTCACGAAACACTGGTTTTACCCTCACAACGACCACTGGTTTCAAAGGAGATGGTCCCAGAAACAAACAATATCAGCTGTAAACGTGAACACCAGTGCTCGGCGTTCTGACCTACAACTGAGGCCACCGCAAAAGCCAAACTAAAAATTCAAAAGACCCAAACTGAATTGTCCGTGAGGTCCCTAACTAAAAATGTCCTGACCATGTACAAACCCCAGTGATCAGGAGATTCCCAGAGGTGACCTGACCATCTCAAGCCCTGGCATAGTTCTGGAGCAATATGAACGAGTGAGTCAGGGGCGTTTGAGCACAACCAGGCAACCACTCCCAAGGAGGTGCAGCCAGTAAGTGCTAGGAAAGATCTCCTGTAGCTGTGGGTGCAGCCTACCTGAGTTTTGATGGCACATCTGTGAAGAGCCTCAGGATAAACTTTGTGGTGATGCCGGGATGGTAGGTGGTTGGGATAAGGACGTAGCGGCCTTGCTGAAGGATCCTCCTCAAGAAGACAGTGCGTGTGTTGATGTACGGAGACGTGGCCACTCTCTCCTGCACAGTGAGCTTGTGCAGCCGATAGCTTCTGTTATCCTCCACCTACAGCCACAGGGCAGTATGGGGATTAATGGAAGGAGGGATAGCAGTGCTAACAGGCAGGATTCTCCCTGCACATCACACAGCCTTTCATGGCCGGAAAACACAACGTGCAACAAAGGCAAATCGGTTGGCAAATGTTTTTTCACCCACTGAAGCTGTGGCAGAGACAGCCCGGACGGGCACCCCAGTGCCCCTGAGGATCTGGAATCTTTTATTTGCCTTAAAACATTGCTACTGTAGAGAGCTGTGCAAGCCTCCTGCCAGGGGATTGAAAACAAGGCTGAGGGGAGGAGGCCATAGCCCAGGAAGTTACATTTTTGGAGGCCCGAGGGGTGAATCTCTGGGGTGTGATGTTTATGTCTTGCATCAAAGGAGGCCCTTTGTGCACACACCCACCACTACCCTGAGAAGGCCTCACTCATAGCAGGGGTGCCCCCAAAGCACTCCCCAAAAGCCTAAATGGCTTTACAAAACCCAGCACCTCTGAAAAACGGCATTACTGTGCAAAAAACATTCTCCCCACACACACAGGGGGAGTGCCAGGAAGGTTTCTGAGGCTATAGAAACGTGGACTTCATGTTTCAGAGGCTTCTCTCACCCACCACTCACTGACAGACCAAGACTCCAGTGACAACAACCACCAAGTTCACTGGAGACCTTTGGGTGTCTCAGACGGGCTGAGATTCCTCTGCCTCCTTTCTCTAGGATGGAGAGAACATTCCAGCCTTTCACAGCAGGCTCTCAATCCAGGTGCACACACCCGTATTTTCGTTGCCCTTTCATGAATACAAAAAACCCCACAAAATAACCATTTATGTTTTGTTCTAAGCCCTGAAGCTGTGCTTAACTATTAACATCCTCTCCAGGGGACTGGTATTTGCCACAGCACAGTTAAAATATAAACCTATTTCTTAAGCAGCTCTTGAGGGCAAAGGCAGCCCTACATTCTTTTCTCACAGTTCTCTTCCCAAGGCCTTTAGTCTTGTTAATGAGCCTGGTGGGTTAGAACATTTTTGAAATAGAAAAATTATTTAACAGAAGTAAAGATAGATACTTTTCTGAAGGCGTGATTTGCTTTTCCAAGCCTTTCCAAATTAGATATACAGGTATGAGCAAGGCAAGGTAAATTATGCTACTTTCTGTAATGACACTTTTCAATATATGTGGTTAACAGATGATTTTCAAATGAATAGGTGTGATGCAGATGTCAGTAGCTCTAACTGACTGTTTAAAATTGACATTTTTTTACAGTAGAACCATAGTGTAGTCCCACTAACTGTAGCAGCAGATGATAGGATTTATCCAAATCCTCAGTAAAAAAAATCAGAAAAATAGCTGTTTCTTTGCTTCCTTCCTTCTCAAGTTCAGGTATTTTCATTTTAATCAATTTGCCCTGAGAGTGCAATTAAATTACCTTTTGGGATCCCTGTGGTTACTTTTCCCATATATTGATTTCCTACTCACTACTCCAGCTTTTGAAAGCATTCTTTTTTCTAAGTGGCAACAGAAAAATGGCAGTCTTTTAAACCTCATTCACTTAGCTGTATTTGCTGATGAAATGGAGGCAGAAGCCTTTGGTGAGAAGGAGAAAAACATCCCTCCATGTTTCAAGCATTAATACTATTTTGCCTTTCTCTTGAAAGCTTGGGGTAGGAAAAGCACTTAACATTCTTTTACAAAAGGGAAAAATAACTTATGTTCCTTTAGTTCAAATAGAGTTTGAATTGAACTAATTCAATTTAGTTCCAGTAGTCTGTCTAATGTCAGCTCTGCTGACGGAGTGCAGTGCCCATGCAAAGCTCGTGTTGAGTGGAGAGCCAGACACCACAGGAATCGTGGTTTTATCTGCCAAAGATCTCATGGCCAGGGTGAAGCAGGACTGAACAAACTCTGCACCAGGAGTGCAGGTGGCTGCCTACCTTGAATATTTCAAAGCCAATTGGGATGCTGTCTCCTCTCCCTTCTTTCTTGTATTTGCGGCGATCCTCCTGTTGTAACGAGACCAACACTTTGTCCTCAGTCTTCTTGACATCAAAGATGTACTAAGAGAAGAGAGAAGAGAGTGAGCTGTTAAAAATGCCCCAGGATACTGAGGATAAAGCCATCACCAAGGAAATATGTGCATCCAGTGAGGCAAATAGAAATGTATTTGGGGACGGGAGGAGAGTTCTTCATATAACAGGTATTCCCAGCAATTCCCAGCTGAAAAGTAATGCTAATAGTGAGGATCTTTAAACCAAAAGTATCAAGGACACTGAAAATGTAATCCTAGTGATAGGACAAGGGGGAATATGCTGCAACAGCTAGTAAGGCACATTTTAATTCATGTCTCTGTTGAACCATATGCAGTGTTACCTGATCAGGTACACCAGAGTGTTCCAGGGCAAATGGAGGTACAGGAGGGAAACAAGAGGAACCAAGAGAGCTCTCTTGGTCTGATGAGAGCTCTGCAACTGTGATCTTACATCTGAGGACATTTCAGCTGTCTTAATGGGTAACGATCTAAAAGCCAGCAGGTGTCTGTGGGAATACACCTCTATTTGGCTTAAATTCCCTTATCAAAAGGGACTGGAAGTGTCATAATCCCTCTCTGTACAGGTAAACTCTACAGAAGGCCTCAGTGTCAGGCGTTTCACTCAGGGAGGACAGACAGAAATTGTCTCTAGATTATGGTGGGGTGTGCCACAGTAATTTATAATGGCAGATAACACAATTGTATTCCAGCATTGCTATGAAGAGCCTTTTAATCAACTAGCCCAGAGATAACAATGGAATAAAAAGGACTTCCATTGCATCAGGCACTGCACTGAACTGTAATGTGTATATATTGTTTTCTGTGGCAGCTAAACACTTACAAATGAGACTCAGACAAGCACTTGGAATACATCCAGAATCATACAGGGGAACACCTCTGGGAATGAGGCACTGACAGAAGACAGAGCAGTGAAGAACTGCTTCTGCATCTACACCTACATGGCAGGATGAGCTGGGAGTCTGAGATTCACTCCTGATCTGAACAGCAGAGGCTGCACTGCCTGGTATCCTGCTATGAAAACAGAGGGGTGCAGGCAGAAACCTCCCTTGAAAGTGCAGAGAAGCAGATACAAAAACATCTTTAATTAATCTAGAGAGAAAGGTTTATTTTCAAAGTAATAACTAACACAGTAAGTGCTCAGCTCTCACTGACAGTAATGGAAGTTTTATGCCTGAATTTGCATGTGCTGGGATGAAAACACACCACATGGAGAAGGGTAGGAAGATGAGAAATGGAGCTGGAATGGATGAATGGATAAACTGAATAGCTTGAAATTACCAGGTAGGATGAGACAAGAAAAATTCTGAAATGTTGATGAGAAGGTGAGCTTGGGTAAGAGACCAGATACTTTCAGAATCTTAGATTAATGCCAAGGAATACTAACTAAATACAGTGGATCAAATCCTCAGGTTGTTTAAGGGTGTTAAGTGAATGAAGCTCTGTCATTGGAAAAATCAGACTTGTTGCCTTTCTACAACTGGTAAACTAAAAGAAGTCCAGGAAGGATGTCGGTAATCCTGGTGTGTTTGACTCATCAGCCCCAAACATGATCAGTCCCAAACAAATATCTCAACTACTGAGAGATTTCACAGAAATCACTGAAGCACAGCACACTCCCAGGGGACAGACACTGGCAATCGGGTTTTTTGCCAAGTACTCACTGCCAACTCCTAAATAGGGTGGATACTTCAGAAGCCCCAGCTCAAGCGGATACACTTCAATGCCTCACTAAATACAGGGGTTCCCACCTGGGGATTCTGAAGGAAGGTCTCTCTGTTATCAAAGCAGCCACCGGAGCGATTTAGCAGGGGCTCTGAATTTTTTGTCCAAGCCCCATGCATCATTTTCTTCTCCCAGGTCTTGTGGATGCTGAAGTAGGAGGTATTCACAATCCGGCAGATGTCCACGTCTGTGAAATTCTTACACCAGTCCTCAAACGTCATCCTGTTCCATGGGACACCAGGAAAGTAGTGGCTTATTTAAAAATAAACTGTGATACTCATGCAAAGAGCCAAAATAACACACAAAATCTTCCAGTAATTTAAAAGGAGGCATTGCTCATCTGTCCAGAGGACAAACTGATTCAGTGGGAAGCTCTGCATGTGGAAATACTTGTGAAGCCACAATCACACAGTCTTAGAGCTTAATTTAGAGAAATATCACTTAGTGTGTTTGGTCAGGTCTGGATCTGTTCTGTTGCATCTCCTAAGCCTAGAGGACAGGTTCTATCTACCAAGCTGGGTTTGGTAACATATATTTTGCAAAGACAAAAGAGATCACCTGCAACCAAAGCATGATCCACTCCTCATTATTACGGTCCTTACTGTCACATCTGTCCTTGAGCACAACTCAGATCTCTGTGCTCTGGACATAGCTTTTATGTAGCACCATCTCACTGCTGCAGCCTGTGCCTGCTGAAGCAACAGGCTGGATTGCAGAGCAGTTAAAAAACGTTCACCTCCCCCAACAGCTTGAGATCTCTGAACTACCATCATGCCTTGGCTTATTAATGGCCCAGAGCCAAACTCTGAGGTTGCCAGTTCTGACAAAGCCAGCAGAAGGCTTTTCATACTAAGCGCTGCCAGCACACTTGATGCAGTATTGACAATCTACTGAAGAAGTTGCTGAACTAAGTATTTGGTCTTTAAGCCAAGTGAGAATTAATAGAATTCTAGAGATTCTGTAGATAATGAACGCTCCTCATGCCCGTGGTGGATAACACCAACAAATATCAAAATTCATTGGCTGCAATTCTATTTATAGATAACTCAGGCACAGTAGTCAGTGAACAGGTTTGATTGTGTTCAATACCTGAAATTTTGTCTTGTAAACCAGCATGTGTTCTGAGTGAACGTCCTAAATATAGGTAATAGAGGGCATTTGAAACTTATATTTACTAAGAGCTACTAATTTTGTTCTACTAGTTTTTAATCTGCTTTTTCTATTCTTCTCTCATCCCTTGAGATTTTAAAAAGAAACAGAGCTTATGCCAGGACTGGATAATCTTATTCATTTGGGAAAATTGTTTTGCAGCTATTAAATGGCAGATTTATTACTCACTGTAGCTAGTGTCTCCAAACCCTTCACTTCTCTACTACTCACCAGAACTCCCCATCATTCTCCACAACGAGCCCTAAGCTCTTGCGTTCTGAATCGCTGACTTTCTTCCACTCCTCAGAACTAAAAGGGGAAAAAAAAGAAGTAAAAAAAGAGAACAACAAAGATGATTAATAAATTAAATGCTGTCACTTGAAAAAAAATTAGAAGTAAAAATCTCTCATGGTCCCTTGTTTTGAAAGTAACAGAGTACTGAGAAGGCAGATGATATTCAGGAAGAAAATGTGAGGCTTGTAGGAGGAGTTTTAAACCATTAATTGATTTGAAAGCTACTAAAAAAGGAAGAGATTAATGGGAAATTGGCACAACTAGAGCAGAACCTTATTGATTTCCTTTATTACACTCTCCATTAGGATGCTTAAACACTTAAACAGCTGGTTTGGAAGGTCATAGGAGATTGAATCCATTCCCTGAAGGCCCTTCAAATGAAATCTGGTTCTCGTCCTCGGGAGATTATTGGATGCTTCACTTAGACCAGTGTATTCTCTTTGTCTTTTAATCACCTTAATAAACAGGCCTGAGATTTCCCCAGAGAGCTTTTGAGAAGAAACTGCTGGAGCATGAGCCTAGTGTCCAGTTTCCAGAGGAACACTGCACTGCACAGACACCTCATTGCCTGCATGAGCTTAGTGCTCTGCCTTGGCCCCTGCAGGCATCTGCCTCTTCCACTGACTGCAGGGGAGCACAGACCCGAAACACATCAGTCTCGTGCTGAAATCCAACAATAGGCTGTGTGAGCCCCTTCCCTGATGTGTTACATTGGACAAACAGAGCCACAATTCCTCATTCCCTTTCCAAAAGTACTTGGAGGCTAAATTTGAAGGTGGTTGGCAGGAGGGAAGGGAGGTTGTTTACTATAACAGGCATTTTCTTAAACTATTTGGAAATTGTCAGTTTAATTCTGTGAGGCCAAAAGCCATGGTCCAACCTCAGAATCCTCAGTGCTTCCACTGGCATGAGTGGCAGCTGTGCCAAGACACACAAGCGAGTGGAGATGCCCAAGGGTTTAAGTTAAAAAAGACACAGTAGCTCTTCTGTGCATTCTTTGCATTTCACCTGGACCAATCTCTTTGAAAGTAATAGATTTCTGCTAGCTAAAATAGAGGATGTAAGATTAATATGAACTGTAACATGTTTTTCGTGTACAAATCGCCTGTGATGGAATATATCCCCTCCAGCAATCATTTCTGTTGCTTGTAGAGGAGACTGCTAAGACCACATGAAAATTCATTAGAAAATAATTCAAGAAATCACAAATGTAGCAATTTTACAGCATTTTTCACCAATCACTTAAATTATCTAAGAATAAAAGACTTATGGCACCTCCAGCAGCTGGCAATTACAGACAAGAAACTGAGTCACAGACAAACTCAGTGGTGAAGCTGGGAACAAGCCTCACATTCTTGACTCATCTCCTTAATTGTGGGCTGTTTTTCAGCCCATGAGCCAAGTGTGCCAGAACAATGGTGTATACAGCAAACTAAGGTCCAGGAAGCTGTAAGCTCCTCCAGCATGTGCTCATTTTGTCAGGGAATGCTCTGCCTGGGAGGAGATGGCACAGAGGTTCAGCTGTCACTGAGGATGGCTGTGTCTGAACAGTGTTTAACCACGTATCTCACGTCCAGTGGCCCCAGTACAGTTTCATTCCTTTGACACTGGATTTGCAGCACTTACTTGTCACTCCAGGCGCCGTTCCATTCTTTTTTTCCCCAGGGATTCCTCAGCCTGATCATGAACAGCTTTTCTGCCTTAAAAGAGAACACGAGCCTTTCTCCAAGGCGCAGCTTCCGAATTCCAGTCACTGAGTACGCATGGCCAACAACAAGCCCCATCTCTGTCTCCACCTCACTAGAACGGCCAGAGGACACCTGGAGCACCAAGAATGACAATTAAAAAGTAGAACTCACATCACTGAGGGACTTGAGAGCTACAAACTCAAGGGGCAAGACAAGGAAGGCTTGTTTGCTGTTCCCTTCCCAAGTGATTTGACTGTCCAGGAAAATAACAGCACTGGGGCTCATAGTGGCTCGCTGGTCTGGTGCTGTGCAGGATACTGCTGGAAAATTCCTACCAGGCAGAAACCCAGAGCTTAGGGGAATCCTGCCTGCTACAGCTATTTTTGTCTCTTCCTGGCCTCAAGAGTTAAAGAATTCCAAAATCTTGTAATCTTTACAAAATTACTCTTCTGGATATTGGTGACTGTGCTCAGGCTGTCCAGTGGTATCCTCAACTGGACACTCCGTAGGGCCTAAGAATTGAGCTCATGAGTCCAATGGCTGTTTCTGTGTTGGAGTCAATTTGATATCCCAGAAGAACTACTGCTGGTAGATAAAAATAGAGGTCACAGGCAATAAATCTTTCTATCCATTTGTCAAACCTGTCCTGTACCTCTCTTACTTGGCAACGGGCAGAGCTGCAGATTTATTTAGGAGCTGGGTTTGCTCCTCATGAACTTCACACAAGCAGCCTAGTTTCTAGCAGTGATCAGGCAGTAAACTGTCCTGATGGATGACCTAGGCCTGACCAGAAGTTGATCTAAGAATACATAAAAATTGTCAAGTTCTGAAAAATACGACAATTTCATTTAATGCATCCAAATCTCCTAATCTACCCAGAAAAGCAGTATCATATAAAGATGCTGGAGTTGCTTTGACGGACTGGCCCTTTACAAAGCCAGCACAATGCTGCTTCTGAGCAACACAGACCGGGCAGGACAGTGGAGAAAATAAAGCTGTGCCAGTGTTATAACCCTTCTTCTGAGCCAGGAACAATCCAAATGGTCCTGCCTCTGGCTTCTTCACACCCTCACTGGAGCCAGCATGGGCATCCTTGCACTGGGCCATAGCTAGAGATTCTCTCATCTATACTGGACTATAACCCATTGGGCCTGAAGACACTCACTCCCTTGGACAGCAAGGAAGGAAGATTTGACTCAGTGCAGATCCTTATGTGTAAACTTGTAATAACCTAATTAATGATCAATCAAGCCTTTGCTGTGGCAAAGAGAGCAAGAGTTATGACTCTTAGTGCTATTAATGTACATATTTAAATATATATTATTTATTGTTTATCATTATACAGTAATAATTATTAAAAATATATAAATATTTCAATATCAACAAGGACTTATCAGAGTTATGCTATGCAGACATTTTTACCCATTTAAAAATTTAACTGGTCTAAACAGAGTCCTTCTCCTAAAGCAAGAGTTGCACTGATATAAGAATGTTCAGTTCCTAAAGGTAAAAAATAATAATAAAAAAAAAATAAAGGGGAGAATAAGAAATCTATATCAAATTGGAACTGACAGATGGTCCGGCAACTGTGAGAGTCTCACCAAGCCCTCTTTGCCTTTCACCAACAACAGTTCCCAAAGAATTAGCTCATGTGTTACATGGAGACTGGCTGACATTTCCAGTGGGTTTGGGCTTTCTCCAGAGTAACACTTTCACTTGCATTTTTCACAACTAAAAGCAAACATAGAGTCCTTGACAGCATGGGAGTCTGTAACTTCTCCTGCTGCCTTTATTACCCTCAGGCTTTTCTTACTGCTGGGCTGCCTTTCCCACCTCCTTCCAAAGGCATTTATTTATTTATTTATTTAAATGAGATATTTAAACATCTAGTGTCTGTTCAGATTTCTAAATGGTGATGCTCAGGGCTATTTTGTCATCCAAGGAAAATGGTGACACGCTTGTAAGGCAGCAACGAAGCCACTTGAGTATTAAATATTCTACACCTAGCAAGCTTCATTGTGTGTATAATACATCAAAAAGTGACAAATGCAGACAAACATAGGAATTACCTCTCTGTAATCAATGATTAGAAGCATTTGTGTTTAACTTGACAGACAGACACATAATGCCAGGAAGAGGTGAAAGCGTTACAACTGCCTAATTAATTGCTTTTTAAAATACAGACTTAGCATATCTCCTCACCAGATCCACGTTAAGAAACAGAACTGCCTTAGCATTTGGGAGCAACCTATCGTTCCAGAAACAATGTTTACAACAACAATTCACACCAGGAAGTCTGGTCTGCCAGGCTGGTCTGAGCAAATTGAATGGAATTCTTTCAAACAAAAATTCAGACCTCATGAAAAAGGTAAAACAAAAACCAAAGACCTTGAAGATTTTGTTCAAATTAATCTCCCAGGAGGTACCACGTGTTCTTCTTTGGTATCATGGCACTGGCACAGGGCAGAGCATAGCCAGGGACAGCCAAATGTGCTCAAGCGCCTCCAAACACAGCTGCTTTTCTGTTGTTCTGGACAACTCCACGACTACCATGTGACTCACGAGAATTTCTGAATGCATCAGCACTTTGGGATCCACCACTTTACCTTGGATTTAGCACTTGTGCCACACTATTGCTGTAGCACTTAACTAGTGTTAAGCACTTAATACTAGTATGTGAAGTACTACACTATGACCTTCATTTCACAGGTGTGGAAATTACAGCAAAGTGTTTAAGTGATTTAACTAAGTCCACAAAAGATCAGCCTTAGCCAAAGTCTTAAACTGGAAGCAGGGGGCATGGGAAGAAGATGCTAAGTGCACCTAAATGCCAACCCTGCAGCTCCTAGAGAATGATCCCTTTCCTGCTAGCTGCACTTTAAAAATCATTTAAAAGGCAATCTTTCAGGAAACATTCAAGCAGTTTGTTAGCCCTCCACGTGTGGTAAGAGCTTCAGGCAAGGTGAGAATTTCAGCACTACCCAGTCATGGCCTGACATTGCAGACTTAGACAGAAGAGGAGTTAAGCCCAGTTGTCACTGGTTTCCCTCCTATAGCAAGAGGCACTGCAGGGCCCTTGGCTGCCTGTGGTTTGTGAAGTATATGAAACACTTTGGGAGCTGCCACCACAGAAGCCATCCTCTACTAAGGGAGCCTCAGGGTCCTGGCCCCTAATGTAGGCACCCGAGTTACCTGCCTCACATGAGCCAGTGTAGGCAAGTTTTGCTGGTTAATTCTAATGGGGAGATTATTAGCAAACAGTACTACCCGAATAACCAGGTGAGCTCAGCCTTTCAGCTCAGCTCCAGTGTGTTACACTGGCTGCACCATCACAACTAAGGTCTCAGCAGCTCAGTGTCAGCAGAACTGCTTTCTTTAAACAGGTTACCCTAAGGAATAAAGAAAGTGAATGCTGCCATCTGGCCTGTAAATTAGGGCATTCTAGGTGGATTAGCCTCGGGTCAGTACACAACTGTGACCACTGAGAAAGAACAGCATTTCAGACCCACGGCAAAGTGGCAGCACGAGCAGCTTTGCAGTTTTGTGATTGTATTTAGTGGCTCCCAGAGCTGTAGTGGGCTGGCAGCACTGCCAGCTTGGTAGATTTCTCCATATAAAGCTTTCAAAAACATACAAATGAAGGACATACTTAATACACTAATAATAGTATTTCTTCCAGAACATTTCAATTGAAATTAACTCCAAAAATCCAGCTCCCTGCACGTACCGCGATGGAGCAGCTGATCAACCCGCCTCTTCTATGCACTTTCATCAAGTCTTCAAACAGCTTCATCTGCTCAGAAATAATCTCTCCATATTTGCCCTGTACCAAATCAATAGATTCTGCCACTGCTCCAGTGAAATCCACAATAGCATCTGCAGCACTGCCTCCATCGAGGGCTTCATAGGATCCAGCCAACCTGGAGGCAACACAGAACATTCTCAAATACCAAGAGGCTGTTACTAATTGAATGCAGGTAATATATTTGGGTCTCACCAAGTCAAAACCAAAACAGAACAAGAAAGCCCCAGCAGACTGCAGATAGAGATTTCCTGGTTTCTAGGATCCCTAAGGCTTTGGGCTGCTGCAGTTGACTGCATTGCACTCCTTTATGATTCACCCCTCCATGCAGATTAAAGAAGGAGTTTTCATACTTTCTTAGGTTCCCTACTAGCAGCAACCTTAAAACCTAGGGAAAGTCTGGTAGAACTGAAAGACAAAACAAATAGCTGGATAGAAAGGACAACACTGAGAATTACAAGGACAATGAACCAGCTCATACTTTGCATAAGCTTTCTCCAGCAGTGCACTCCAGAACTCATTTTTCACATTGGAATGGCAGTAGATCAACCTCCCATCCATTGTTGGCAGCAGATCATCAACAACCACCTCTGTCCATTCTCCAAAGCACCAGAAGCGGAAACGGAAAATCCCAGCATATTTCTCTGGGTTTTTAGGGTCCCATTCTTGTTCATTAAAGTCTGGAATCACCTGAGAAACCATGGAAGGGAAAGTTCAGCAAGTGCACTCTGTTAAGGTTTATTCTGAGGGCGGATTGCCCTGGAACATGCACTCTGCTGGCATTCAGCTTCATGAGCACTTGACCCTAAATAAACGAAGCAGTGGAAAAAGAGGGTGAATTTGGTACAAAGTCCAAATGTAATCCTACATCAAGGAATCTTTTAGGAAAATAAAATTCATATTGATCTGCAGAGAGAGATAAAAAGAACCCCTTGCACTCTCTAGCTTTGTTATATCTGTTCTTTGCTGCTCAGTGGGACTGAGGAGTGAGGGGATCTCATAATAAGAGAAATGAACTTTTAAAGAAAGGTAAGATTTGAATCTACCAAAATTCACTACTTGTTAGTCCTAGAGGGAAAAATATTAGCTGATAGGCAAGAAAACAGCCAAGGTTTATTAGCTTTATTCCACGCATCATGCACATCTGTTACCTACCTGCTGCCATAGGCATTTCCTCAGAGCCAGGCAGGAACATGCAGCCACAAACCAGCAGTTCCCCAGGGTGCCCTGGTGCAAGTCATGGGAGCTGATTCCATTCACAAACAGATGGGGGTCTTCACAGAGGTCCTGACAAAACAAACCAGAGATTACTGGACACTCCACTCCAGAAATGATCACAATATCCTTGCCATCAAGAAAAGCAGCAGGAAATGGTGTTACTGACACCTGGAGCCCTTTATTGCCATGCCCTTGGCTGACATACTGGAAACCCTCCTTCAGCAACAGCCTGAGTTGCTGCAATGACCCCAAGCACACAGCATCTAAGGAGGCAGAGAATACCTGTCTGAGAAACACACCTTTCATTCTCTGTGTCTCATAATTCTCATTCAACCAGCTCCTACTAGAACCACTCGCTCCTCCTTTCCCATTGCTCTCTTGGATCAATCTCTATCTACATGCAGATTCCCAACAAAGCACAGCTGGATCTTCTTGTGATGTCTCCCTGCTCCTCCCTATCTTGCCCCTTCCCTGCAGATCAAGGCACTAGAAGGAGCACCAGTATCATGGAGCATGGGAAAGCCACACAGGTCTATTTTGCAGCAGTATTGTGTTTGTTACCAAGAAATCTTTGCAGACAGTGTTCTTGCTGAATGGGTACATATGTGGCCTCACAGTACCAGACAGAACCTCCCACACAGCACTTCAGCAAACAGGTAGCCTGACTGTCCTTAACTGATATGGATTTGGACCCTGCTGGTTTCAACCCAGTGATTGCTCATGACATTCTCCTCTCAGTCACTGCTCTTCCTGACTGGCTGAAACGATAGCAGTGGTAGGAAATTCTGCTTTCACAGTATAATAACCCTAAACTTCAACACTGTGAAAATGATTTTACATCCAAGCATTAGAAATGCAGAATAAATAACTCCCTCTCACCTCAAAATGGCAGGAGGCTGCAGATCTACTGCAGGCTTTCCAGTTTGCTATGAGCAGTGGAATAAGGAGCTGTGCTCCTTACCTCATGGATTCTCACTGGCCTTTGGTGATAGTAGATGATGATCCCAAAATACCAAGACTGCAGTCAAAGCCTGGCTACAGACCACAGGCACGTAAAGACCTCTCAGTCTTCCCTCTGATGTGACTGTAACAAATCAGTGCCAGCTGAGCTTATTTTCAGAGCAAAGAACCACATCAGTGCTGAGCTGGAGGCTGGTTTTCCTGGGCTGGTTTAGCCGATGGCACCTGGAGTCAACTCATGGCACAGAATTCATGGAGCTGCTGCCATTCTCTTTAAGAAAATTATATTTTCAGCATGAGACTTTTCTCATTAAGTAATAGTTGAAATTTTAAATGCCTTTTGGGAAACAAGTAACTGATCATTACAAGACACTGTTTATTCTGTCAGTATTTCTTACGCGTGTCTCCACTTAGAGACGTTTCAAAGCTTATTAACAGACCTTAATAAAAATCTGAATACAAGAAATGGTGCCTATGAGGAAAATTGATCATGCTCATCAGCATCATGGACAGATCCATTCAGTCTCCCTGGATGGT